AAAGTTTCAAGGCGATAGTTCGCATAGAAGCAGACAGATGGATAGACAGACAGATAGATAGACAGACAGTAGTCTAACATGGCTATATAAACTCGTTTGTTGCTGATCTAAAATATATATATGCTTTATGGGGTCGTAGATGTCTTCTTTTATGCGTTACACATTTCATGACAATATTTGAATACCCTCTACGAGAGAATAAAAAGGGTTTGTTGGCGATTGCTGCGGGACAAAAGGCCAAAACGATATATGAGCTCTTAAATTTATGCGTTGCTTTATGGACAAGCACACGCGTGTGCGTGTGTGTGTGTGTGTGTGTGTGCGTGTGTGTATGCCTGCGGGTTTATGAAATGCCAAGCGGCTGCTTTTTTGAACTGTTTAATCTCAATTACCAGTGCGAAATATGCAATAAATCTGTTATTGTTTGTTGTTGTTTTATATGTTATTGTTGTTGTTGTTGTTGTTGTTGTTGTTGCTGCCGCTGTTGTTGTTGTTGTTGTTGCTGTTGTTGTCGCGTCTGTCAGCCGTTTGGGTTCAAGTGCCTGCCGCAGTTGTTTCAAATTGCGCCGCTCGACTTTTTTTTTATGATTGTTTTCGTGTATTGCGCAATAAAAACAAAAATAATGGCAGCACTTGAAAAAAAATAAAATAAATAAAAACAGAAAAAACATGTATGTGGCAGGGCGCAACATACGCAATTTGTGTGCTGCGTTTGGGGCATTGTTTTGCGCCGACTGCAACATTGCCATTTTGGCTTTGTGCGGGTGGCGTTTTATTTTTTTGCTTTGTTTTTTATTTGCACTTTGTTAGGCTGGGCTAAAGCCTTTAAGCACATAATTTCAATTGCTGTACATAACACAATGGGATTAACTTTGATTTTGACATATGATTTGCTGGTGTGAGCCTCTGTGTGTGTGTGTGTGTGTGTGTGTGTGTGTGTGTGTGCGTGCGCGCAGATGTGGCCATAAAAACAATTGCATGCTAGGATGCTTTGGGCTTGAAATGTTGGCTTTACCGAAGCAGAATACATGAAATACCTGAAAACAAAAACTAAAACGAGCCCAACTCGAAATTCTCAAGTTGCACGCAGAGTTCTTCCAAAAATTTTATTGCTGTGATTCTGTAAGCTTTTGTAAAGCAACAAAAAAACAGCAGAAAACAAAGTTATCCAGTCGAGTGTAATTTTAAATCCCTTTTTGTACTATTTGTGAAATATAGTCAATGTGCTGTGTGAGTCAATAGCTTACAATAGGCAAAAGTAATTTGAGGCTAGCTTACATGAGTTTCGGGCTTAACATTCTCTGGTCTCTGGTCTATAGAATTCTAAAACAAGTTGAGTTGTAAATGCATTATAATGAAATCAATTCAAGCCTTCCACAAAATTATATGATATAAAATTATGAATTACTTGCTTACCTATATTTATTTTATTAATTCAAGTTTCTTCCAAGTTTCCTTAAAAGCAAATTAATTTAACCCAACTGTGGGTAACAAGCATTAGTTTATTCTATATATCGTTTTGCTTTAAAGATATCTCCTAAACAGTGTGACCAGTGCAGTGTAAAATCCCAATTTGATGGTCCATTTTACGCAGCTATGGCCACACTGTTCAACTGCAGTCGTGTCATGTTTTTAATTATTTATTGAATTAACTTTTTCATCCATGCACAAAAACGAGATTTGATGCGACCAGCGCGTAAATTATTTATGCAACCGAAAATTGTAGCTGCATGAACACAGACCAACAGCAATTACAAAGTGCAATTAAATGCGTACATGACAGGTAAACTGTTTAATTTAACCGGGTTTTTACATTTGCGCCAGCCTCTTGAATTGTTTGTTGCCAAAAACAGTTTTAAATCTGAGTTCGTATGCAAACTCTTTGATCCACTGTCTGCGTAGAAAGTTTTCTTTATTTCTGTGAAAAACACGCCCAAGCAAAACAAACTAAAAGAATAAACAAAACAAAAAATGGGAAAGGAAAGGCGACAAAATAAAACGAAACGAAATTTTCATGAACTTTGAACGCTTCTAATTGACTTTGAAGTGCTTTTACGGCGATTAGCTCGAATGTATCTCACAGATACATGATGCCGTGCTGCTTACACCTACCTGTCGATGAAAATTCGCTAAATACGCTGCGCACACATACAGTTATCTACACACACACACACACCCACTTATTTAAGTTCATTTAAAGTTTTGAGCCGCATCTGAGCGGCAGCTTTAAATTTTTGCCACGCTCGAGCTGCTGCCTGCCCCAATGCAGTCAGCAGCTTATGGGCTAAATTTAAAACCTGCACGCCATTTACAACACACACAGAGAGAGGGAGACACACACAGACATGCATGTACAAGCAACTTACATATGTTATTATCGCACAAACTCGCAAATTTTCGCCAGAGCGCAACGGCTCCCAAATGTATGCTACGTTTTTCAGCATTTTTCTTGCTGCGCTGACTTTTCGCTGCGCTCCTGCGCTGCGCTACGTCCTCCATTGGGACGCTCATCCTTAAACATATTTATGCTAGTGGCTGCCCTGCTGGCAGGACTCGTTGGCCAGAACTTGACTGCTGTTTGTTTTGTGCAGCTCGTTGACATTTGATGTCACTGTGTCACCGGCATAAAAAATTAAAAGTATAAAAATTATGCAGATCCCATGCCCAGAGTCAAGCCGAGCCAACGGACGGGTGGGCGAACGCGGGGCTAAATCGCTGGCATTATATGCGTAATAAAAACTTGCGGTCGTCCTCTTGCCTCCTGCCTCCAGTTGACCTTTTCGTAGAACCAGGCAAACTGCGTTCGGCCGTGAGAAGGGACAGTTTATTGTCCTGCTTGCGCTTTGCCAGCTGCTTGTTATGCCCTAAACAGCAAGGTATTTCGCTGAAGACACTTGAAACAACAAAAACAGAGTTAAAGAAAAAAATAATAAATTATTTCGCGTAGTTAATATAGCTTTATGAAATAATGTATCAATGTTTAAAAATACTGTGTTCAAATAATTATTTATATATAATTCCCAAAGTTTTATATTTTCCTATACCTTCAAAAAATAAAGTTTTTTTAACTCATCCCTGAAAAATGTCCGCTTTTATTAATTATGTACTCGACTTATAGTATCAATAATAAATAAATAAATAAATTTACAATTTTTGTGAATTATTTTCCGGCCTAATCAATTACCAAACAAATGTATACAAAGTGTACACAAAGTGCGGCTAAGTACAGGCACATTTTGTTGTTGTATTTTTTAAACTTTCTACTCAACGCTTAGGGCTAGAAGTGGGTGGGGGTGGGGGTGGGTGCTGATGGTTTGTCAGGCGCCCGCATTGGGGCAACTGGCGGTCTGTGCGTGACAGACGTCGCTGGCCTGTCACTCGCCGCTAGCCAGCTTTCTTTGTTTAACGCACTCGCCCTCTCTGTCGCTCTCTGTCACAGTCTGTCTCTGTCTGTTTCGGCTGTACCTGCTGGCTATGGGCATTAGGTCTGACTGTCTGTCCGTCTGTCTGTTTGCCTGAATGTCAGCCAACAAGTTAGTCATTTGCTGTATCAAAAATAAAACGCAAATAAAAAACTTTTACGACATATTTATCTTTTCTGGCGCAACTCTCGACTGTTCTTCCTGACCGAGTGACTGACTGACTTTGTGTGTGGGTGTATATGTGTATGTGTGTGTGTATTTGAGCAGAAAAATATTTGAAGGTGCATAAATGTGGATAAGACATAGCAAAACGCACACACACTCGCACACAAAAACACACACTCGTTCACCCACTCAACTGTGTGATGTATCGTTTGGTTTTACATGGTCAGCCCAAATGTTGCAAGAGGCAGATTCGATTTGTCACCATCAACATAATGAAAAACAATCAGCAAAAGTGCCAGACGGCAATTGAAGATTGATATTGATTTTGCTGAGCAAAGCTAGATATCCATTGCCCAGACATATGAGAGCTGAGAGCTGATGATTAAGTAAACTAAGTAAACAGCATGAGAATTTCAGAGAGAGGCTGAAACAATTTAATTTAACACAATCCGGCTGTCCATGGTTATCTATTTCCAAGCATGTTAGTTGTCATTTAATGAATTTTAATTGGCCCTGTAATTAGGAAAGCAAATAGCTTTTTTACCGACAAAGGCAGCACTTACAGTTGAACTAAATGTAAATAAAGAGCAAAGATTTGCACAAAAATTAACGAATTATTAATAAATAAATATTTTCATAGAAGGAAAGCGATTAAGCAAATATATCACATTGACTGAGAGTGCGATTGCTACCATTTAATTATCAAAATAGATATTTGCAGAAAAACAAGCAAAGAAAATTTAAATTAAATAAATATGAAAATAATGGGAAACTTATTTTAATTAATGTCAGTTTTTATTTAAGTGATGCATAATTAAGTAAACAGCTTTGAATTGGTTGGAAAAAGCAGATGGCATACATAAAGTAAATAATAATGCATTTGCAAAATTCGGAAATATATATATATAAAAAACAAGTGAAGTAAAAAACTAATAATAAATATATTCTATAGCGATACTTAAATAAATAAATATATAAATATTTTTCAACTGAAAGTTATAATTAAACAAGTTAATTAATTGATATAGTGAGTGATAATTAAGCAAACGGCCTGAAAAGGCAGCCGCTTTTGCTATTAGCTATAAAAATAAATTAAGATTTGCATGAGTATCTTTTTAACGAAATTTGGCTTTGTTAACAGCTCGATAATTGCCAAGAGGATCCTGTTTTTCGAGCAATTTAAAAAACAGCTTAATATTTACATGGAAACCTACTTGAAAGCATATCAGCTGTCATTTAACGATTGCCCAAACCGCAGGCGAAAAGCTGTTATTTCAACAAATTAATGAATATCACATAAAAATATTTTTTTTCGTACGTTGTCATTCAATGTATCTTAAGCAGGGCGGTTTGCTGGCTCAGTGAGAAGCTGCTTACACATTATTATCACCACATAAAAATGTATCAAGTGAATACTGGACTTCTTTGTTAGTCTCTTTATTGCCAGGATTCACATTAAATGAGAGTTCTTTTTGCTGCTGCTGCTGCAAATAGAATTTCGGTAGTGAGTCTGTTGGAGCAGCTGCTTTGGCGTCATCTGGTTACATATTTGTTGTGCTCTCCTTCTGGTCAGTGGCAGATGGTTCCCTTGGTTGACGCTGGCGTTCCAAAAAGCTGGGCCCAAAGTAGTGGGTGCGTTGATAGCGTATGTTTTTGTGCTCTTCCTCGTGTTTAGCTGCTTGAAGCTTTACCTTGGGCAGCACAAACTTCTCATAATACTCATCTGCACGTGTTAAAGGACAGTTTTGAGCTTCACTTGGGTCAATTGCTTGAAAATTCGGCTTACCTAGTGTTAGCTCCATAATATTTGTATCGAATATATAGTTTTCGCGATGTTTGTCCTTTGCGGTTTCCTCATTGGCAGAAGCCTTGTTCACATACTGCTCAGAGTATTCATCTGTGTGGGAGGGGAATGTATTTTGGATTGTATTTATATATTAGTTTTTACTTACCCAGCGTCAATTTCAATTTTTTCATTTTCAACTGCTCAGCTATTGACGGCTCAGCCATTGGATGGATTCTATTCTATGCTAAAATAACTTAATCAATCAATTAATTACAATTCGTTTGTTAATTTGCGAACAGCGAATCTGACGTCCCGGCTGCTTAGCATACTTGATTTTTAGTTTTCTTCGTTGAACTTTTTATCCAGAAGTGCGATAGTAAAAAAAGGTTGCAGCTAATCGATATATTGAAATATTTTTGAATGTAAATATCGATAGAAATGGAGGTAGAGAGAAAAAAACGTTGAGAAAATTAAAACCATTGTACGCCAGATGCAAGATAAGGAGTTTAAATAGAAATTAATAAGAAAACAAGTCAGAATGTCTCCAACTGGAAGATACCCAAAAAGGCGCAGAAGAACGGCCAAAAGCCTTTGAGCTTATAATATTCAAAATATCTACTAAAATACATATATATTTGATATTTGAATATAATTGATAATAAAATTGGAAAGTTTCTAAAGGACTGAATGCAAACACTTCTGTCGATCATCAAACTTCAATTTTCGTAGACCCTTTATACCATCAAATATAACAATTTTATAGTTTTATTGGATAATGAGTATTTTTTGTTGTGAACTTCAAATATTGAAATAGAGAAATAGAATAGAGATCCAGTACTCTGGATGGTTTGATTTGTTAACATTTTTCTTAAGTGTATTTTATTTAATTAAAATTAAAACTCGAAACTATAATTGAATTTTATCCTTTTGCAAACTAATGTATGCGTTACATCCATTGTAGCTTCTTATAGTTCCCGACTTAAGCTGACTTCTTAACAAAAAGCATATATTTTACTTATACCCAAATTTTAAGCTGACTTAAATAACTTGTGCAAACGCCTGGCTCGGGGCTTGGCGCACTTCTCAGCGCACTTTTCGTAGTCCCTATCAGTAGATGGGTATTTTTTTTCTTTTTTGGTTTCTACTTTTATGGGCCCTCGTAATGTGCGCCTAGGTACCCAAACCGTCGAAGCCTTAAAGCTCAACAATCGTGCTAATGGGCCGTACTCGTCGTCATCGTCGTCCTTGTCAGAGTCCTAGCAGTTGTCGCCCGTCGTCGTCGTCGTCGTCGTCGTCTGGTGTGCCAAAGTTTTTATTTGTTATTATATACTTTGGCGTGTCAAATAAACATCACACATCTACGTACATGAAACATGTTTTATATGCCAGAGCTCTATGAAAGTCCTGTGCCGGAGTGTGCCTGTGTGTGTGTGTGTGTATGAGCTTCTACGTGCTGTGGTTGCGCACTTTTTTGTAAGGTTAGAGGCATTAGAATGCGAGTATATGAAAGTGTGTGTGTGTGTGTGTGTGTGTGTGTATGTGTGCGAGAGTATGAGTGCCGGAGCTCGTGTGTGACTGCGACTCATTTGCATGAATTGTCGCAAGCTTTTAGGTGAACTTCACCCTTAGCCGAGCTGAGGAGCTCTCCATCAGGCGACAAAGTGTGCACACTGGCATTGAAATGCCTGAACTATGGATAAAAAAAAAGAAATATGATTTATGACTGGAAATAAATAAAATAAGCAAATAATACAAAATATATTAAAATAAATGGTATCCCCCGAAAGTCTTAGTCGAATAATTTTAATCAAAGATGTTTAATTATAAAAACAAAACAAAATATAATAAAACAAATGAAGGCGTAAGTGGATGCCGAAATGCAAAGTAGATTAAATGAATAACAGATGTTAAATACATTTATATAAAAATAATGTAATAAAATAAAAACCGAATACTGAATCACAGATGTTAAATTATTATAAATGATTAAAAACGGCCCGTAAATGAAAAAATAAAATTTATAAGCCTGTATTATATTCGGCACAATCAGCTATTTAGCTGATTTGTCAAAATTGGGTCTTACCTGAAATTATTCTTGTTATTTGGAATCATAATTTTTTATTTTTATTATTTTTTTTTTTTTTGTTAATAATTTTGTGCTTGCGTTTTTTTTTTAAGAATTCTTCTATTACATTGAAGTTGATTGTTGAAACAATATTCTGTTATTAGCTTCAGAAAATATTTATTTGTTGGTTAGACAATTGTTCATATAAAACTTTATTTTAGCTCAAGCGAATAATATTTTTTTTATATATATTTTTGTTTTTAATTTTTGTTTTCCGATACATTTAGGCTGCTCAACAACAAAAACAGTCTTCATGGCAAATATTTTACACGTCTGCGCTTCTTGACGTCGAGACTGCAACAGATTTAATGAGTAGTTAGAAATGTAATCATATAATATTTAATACCTTCTAATATAATATAAAATAATTTAAAATAATTTAAGACTTACCTTTTATTTATTTACCTTATATAAAATAATACATTTTGGGCTCCACTGTGCTATTGAGTTGGGCCTTTTAATGTTGCTCGCATGGCCATGGGCGGGAGTTGCGTTAATTTTATGCCATTCTATTCGCTCTAACGTGCGATTTATGCTAAGCAGCGACAAATAAATAAATGCCAAGACCAAAGGTGTCTGACAGAGCTCTCCTAATGAGCGTCTTTATATGCCACGCTCCATTAATTTTGCACAGTTTCAACAAGAGCTTAAAGTTCGATGATTGTAAACTTTATTTATTTCTCATCTTTTGAAAATATGTTTGTTGTAGCAACAAACCATCTGCATTTTTTTTCCTCGTATTGTTTTTTGAATGTTCAATTTGTATCGTAAACTATTGAGAAATTGTTATTTATTTGTACTAACCGCAACGTTGAACGTTGAACCAGGCAAATATTGCAATATTTGAATATTTACATGCAGCTTTCGTTTTTGGCTACTAACTTTTTTGTTGTCTGAGGCTTTTAGCCTGTGTGAGCTTTATCCTAAGTGCAGGTCTTTTCTAAATGCATTCCCAACAATTTTTATAACCGCTGACAGTTTGCTTGTGTTTAATTTATTTTTCTGCGAAAATAAACCACAAATTTTAAAATATTTAGAAGCATATAATATTTTATTTAAGATAGTACTCTACAGATTATGCCAATTTATTTGTGTGTGCTTTTATTGCTCTTATTTATTTTCACAAAGTTACAAATGCAGTTGGTTATGGTTTTTCACAGTTTTTTGCTCTTTATTGTTGTTGTATTGGAATAAGTGCTTCACTTTAATGTGGCAAAGGTAAGGAATGGCTTTCGATGGAGTTGCTTAGAACGTTCTTCGACTAAATTTCATTTTGTCGGTGTCACAAAAACCTCTTTTCAGACGCTTTAAATACAATTTTACACTTTGTCAAACAGAAATATTTACCAAATATTATATGCTCTGAATTTTTGAACAATTTTAAAAATATAAATTAAATCAAAAACATTTTAGATATTATCATAAAAGCTGTCTATAAAAACTCTTAAATTTCAAATTTTTCTTAGAAAGAGGAACATAGAAAAACCAAACATATTTTGATACGTTTAAAGTATCTTAAATATTATCAAAAAAAAAAATGTTGAAATGTTTGTTTGCAATTTTTAAACTATTTTTAGTTATAAATATGAATATAATAAAAACATATTTATATGCGCTTAACTAACAATTTACAAATAGAAAAAGTTGTCAATAACAAGAGCAAATATTTTCTACTTCCAAATTTCAAACATTTCTAAGAGAGAAGAATATAAAATATAATAGAAGCAACTTATTTCCATACGTTTTCAGTGTGTGCCTAAAATAAAAGAAAAATATTTAGCAAATATTGCATACTCAAATTTTAACAAAAAATACAAATTTAATAAACGTTACACACTTGTTGGATGCGTTTTTGCTTTGTCAAAAAAGTAAATGTTAGATAAATATTTTGTATTCTCAATTTTTAAACTTTTAAAAAAATATATTTTATAAATTTCTTCAATATAACAAGTTTCCATGCTTTTACCCATATTTAATTTTAAACAATTTATCTTTAATATTGATAATATTTAAAAATGTGTAATGTTAATGCTATTTAGTCACATTAGCTACTTGAGAAGTCTATACTGTGATTCGTTCTCTGGCATCGCCCCACTTTATAGGCAAGCCCAGAGATTAAAGCAGAGAATCTTTAACCCATTGCTAACTGTTTTTATTGTCATCTTTCTGGTTGCAGCATGCACCTGTATCTGGCGCTAATATCGTGCCTCGTGTGCACCGCCCATTGCTGGCAGTTCGATGGCGGAGGTGCTGCCGGTGCGGGTCACAGGTCGATGCAGCGCAGCACCAGAAATACGGCACGCGCTTTGGCACGCGGTCCACCGCCGGCTCGAGGATCGGCCGCGCTGCTTGGCAGCCAGCAGCAGGATGTGCTCTACGCGTGTCCACTCAACTCGATGTGCCAGTGCGCCGGACTGCCCAACGAGACATCCACGCTGATTGAGATTAATTGTAACGAGGTGGCGCTGTACAAGTTTCCAGGTGAGTCAGCACACACACACGCATACAAACATGCATGTATATATATTGGTCAGCTGCTGTCAATGTGTCGCTGACGCAGCAACAGAACCAGCAGCTGCCTCAAACTTGTCTCAATTTTATTAATGTGGCAAATATTTTTGTTCGGATGCGCAATAAATTGGCAGCCAGTCGACAATGCCACTTGCCACAACCGCTAGCCCCCCCCTATGCCCCACTCACACACACACACACACACTCTCCCTTCTTTCATTCGTTTTCTGTCTCTTGCTCTGTTTGCCGCCTGCAGCGCATTGTAATTTTTTAATGAAGCTTCAAACGGCTTTGTCCTGCCGATTGCTGCTCCTGCTGCTGCTGCTGCTGCTGCTGCTGCTGTGTTACCCACAACAAAATTAAATCTTACATTTAAGTTTGCCAATTAGTTGTAAAAATAAAGTTTTTTCGGCTGTGTCCTGCTTCGGTTTCGTTTGCCCTGCTCCTGCTCGCACTGCTTCAGCTGCGTTCGGCATAAAGTTTTTAACGATTGCTGTGGCAAATTCCACGCTAATTTTGTAGTTTTTAAGTAATGAATGGCAAGTTTTGTGCTCCATTGTCATTTCGTTACCATTCCGCATTCGTATCATCCCTCCCGCCCCCTTTTGCCCGCCCCCCAGCATGCTCTTGCCCCTGTTGTCTGCTTGTTGTGCCACAAAATATTGCCATTACCTACAGTACTGCAGAATGCAAACAGCTGGCCAC